CCCATACGACAATGTCCCTGCATGAAGAACTTGCACTGCTTCATCCCCATCTGCATCCCCATGTTCTTACGAGGCGAGTGTGGCGGTGACGCCTCTGGGAGCGGCGGTGTCATGCGCGAGTACATGTTGCGTCCATGCGCACGGCTATTAGAGTGGCCGCCACGCATCCCCATGGCCACTTGCTGCTGTTGAGCGTATCCCATCTGCGCGTGCGGGTGTCTCATCGGACTCGAGCGTGGGTTCATATACATGTTGTTCCCCGCCACGTCATACATTCCAGCAGGCGGATGTGGGCCCACAACCATCGGATTCCATTGCCCAGAGGCCATTTGAGCTCGAGACGGTTGATTCCCATAGCCGTACGACCCGTTCGCAGTCTGTGGCGACCTGTACTGTTGCTGCCGATACTGTTGTTGCTCCATCGCGTACGCCATTTGATTGTTGCCGTAGTACTCTTGCATCTGCTCTTGGTACAGCGCATTGTTGTCTCCATCTTGGCTACCAGACCACGAGTCTTCCGACGACATACGCGGACTCAACGTGTACGCTCCATTGTACGCAGCATTGGCCGCACTACTGGTCCCTGGCACGGTGCTGGAGCGCGATAGCGACAGCGACGTCGGCAAATGCGGTTGCTGAGCCTCCCGGCCGCCACGGAATCGTTCCTGCTGAGCAGCTTGCGGCTGCTGACGATACCGACCAGCGAGGCCATACTCGTTGGGGGATTCCTGTACTGCATTAAGCTGGAATTGACCCGAAGCGTAGGAATTGACGTTCCCAGCAGTATTTCCACCAGCAGATACGCCGTTCCCAGCGTTGGTAGCCATCTGACGGTCGTCGAGACTGAGTTTAAGGAAATCTCCGCCCAGCGCTTGACTTGGAGACTGCGACAGGAACATCTCGATGCTGTTTTTGCGTCGACTGTTGCGGGACGGCAGCATTTCCATGGACGGACGGGCCTTGCGGACCTTGATCTCGATGGGTCTCTCGCCTGAGACCTTCACGGTCTTCTCAGAGCCATTGGTGGTATCATCTCGATCGTGAGACTCTTGATTCGACGTAGACAGAGCACGAGGGGGCAGCGCGTCCTTGGTACCGGTAGTAGAGACACTGTGTGGCGCGTCATTACTGGGATTATTGTCACTTCCAGTGGGGGACGAGGCTGCCGTCAGCTCTTCCTCGTTGTACTTCATGGGGGCGAAGAAGTCACTTGAGCTGCCAAAGCGGAAGAGATTGAGACCAGAAGCCTGGCCATTCCCACTGTCCTTCTCCGGGTATGGACGCTTACTTGGACCTGACGGTGCACTGGCAGGCGCAAACTCCATCGTCATCAACTTAACAGCGCGTCACGACACTTAGGTACCCTCCGTCTAGCAACAAATACATCAAGTTAGCAACTTAACAAGTTAAAAAGTCTCTGCAGACAAAGGCTGACCAGCGAATGGATACAAGGGTGTGTCCTCTGCTTGAGAGGGGAAGGAAGGGACCTGGAAGCTCCGGTAGCAAGTTGCAAACTGGGAGCTCGTGTCTCTTCCCTCTCCGTCCCTCTCCATCCATCGCGTGCGTCTTCTTGCTGATCTCCTCACCTTAAAATTAATGCCCTTCTCCTTTAGTAGTATACGCGACGGTCTGATTGATGGCTGTCAGTTTTTCTTGGGGGTTTCCAAGCGAGCGTCGCGCCTCTGGTAACGTCTATCGTACGCAGCGGTCGGCTTTAGTCTCCACTGTCCTCGCTCCCCTCGCCCTCGACTTGGCTGGACGTCTGCTCTTTGGCTGGGGGGTCCAGTCTTACTTGGGTGGCGGTCTTTGAGCTGAGCAGTAACGCGTATATCGCGTATAGTCAGACCTCGAATAAAGCATCGTCGACTGCTGAAAAGCACCCGAATAATAGCAAAACGACTTGATTTGCCAAAGAGCGCTGACTTCTTTTCCTGTGTGAAAGGATAAGTAAGGAATGATGGCGTGTATCTGTATCCGGTAGTATACGTTTAAAATCCGAAAAAGTGCGTGACTTATGTGTCCCTCCGCAACATGATACATGCGACTTGGCGACAAGTGTAGGTCTGCCAGAGCTGTATGGTTATGACGAGCATTCATGTAGCGCTGCTGGGCCCGCTCTTCGTAGTCGTCGGCTACGGACTCATTCTGGGCATCGCATTCGTCCACTTTACCAAGTTTTTACCAGCAAACAGCTCGGGGCACTTGATACTGAGCACCTTCCTGGCCTCGGAGCTGCTGTTACAATACTCGCTGGCCATCTGGATTGACCCTGGCTACGTGGACCAGCGGCATCTGGTCGAGTCCGCCGTTGCAGATGGAGAACAGCGCTTCTGTCGGCATTGTCAGAGGATCAAGCCGCGCAGGGCACATCACTGTCGCGAGTGTCGACGATGCGTCTACGAGATGGATCACCATTGCCCGTGGATTAACAACTGTGTTGGGTACTACAACTACCGTAAGTGTGTTGTTTGTAGAAGTCACTGTACGCCGTCTAATTGGGGAGTGTTTGTAGGCCACTTTTGGCTGCTGCTACTGTACATCTGGGT